AATTGGCACGCTGGCCAATAAATTAGAATCCTGATCAGAGTTTCTCAAAATTATATACAACTGAAAACTCCTGAAACAGATGTTTTGTTACTTATTTGGTGCAACTTCTGAGTTCAATCTGTAGTTATGTTAAACACATTTAATTTTTGATAAACTGGGATGACTTTTCAGAATGCCTTCAAATTACGAAATCACAGATAGCAGCGAAAATAAAACTGTTTACATTACACCATCAGTAATCAGTTATCAGATTACATCAAGGACACCTCAGATTGAGGCAATCTGCAAAATACAAGAACCCCTGAAAAGTGACATTTGTAGTTTGCAGAAGATCATGTAAATCTGTATTCGTAGCCATGGCTTCTAATAAAATGGTACAATGCAATAGAATGGATGTGGCTTCTATTAGTGCCTCTAAACATATGAGAAATTGTTAAATTTTGATTCTCAAATGATCAGAAAAAAAATATAGGTACAACTTCTATTAGGGATGCAACTTCTAATACAGATTATACAGTACATGCTGTACTTGTTATGTAACATTCCCACTTTTTACCATCTGTAGGATTCCTCTCACTGACCCCTGTAAGCATCATAGGGGCTTTGGATTTTGTACAGTTCATGAGAAATCTTATCCAGCAGAGTGAATTCTGAAATTAAATTTAGAAGTGTCACCTAAATTGAAGTAACATCATCAGGATTCGTTGCCATACCAACTGATTTTATCATTTTTCACACTGATCACAATAAAAAATAGGAGGTATTTGGCATACAAGACAAAGTAGAGAATGCAACTTGAAAAGTGACAGGTCTGTAGGTGATCACATTCAGATGTAGAACATCACGTGGATATCTACACATCTACTCATGTACTAAGATAAGACAGCACACTTGAATAATAGTGGGCGTCTGCACACACCGAATCCAGTTTAAACCAGAAAAAAACTTTCCCAGCTTCTTTTCCATTGACATGTTTGCAATAAATCCATTTATAAACGGAGCTCTATAGATCTGAATTATTTCTTTCAATTGGAACTCAGTTTTAACAACTTCTATTGTATTCGTACTAAAAGAATGAAGAGAAAACAAGTTTTCTCCTTAGTCAGTCAAAGCAATTCTGTCATAGAATATTTCTATTTTTTTGGATGTACGTATAATCAAATGCAGCTCACTCAAAACTGACTCAGTGTAGCTATACATATAGTCTGGCTTATACTGCACCATGCACACATGAATGCAACATATAAATTCTATCGTACAGAAGCAGACTGCACTATGTTGGACAGTACAACCTGGGCCATCAGTCAATTGATCAGAGCAAGGATTCTCACCAGAAGCAAACACCAGATACAAATACAGTTCCAGTTTGGTTTATGCATATGGCAGAGCACCAGTCGATATAAAGTACAGGCAGGTACATTGTACCAGACAAAAATCCAGAACAGTACAGTAACAGTCTGGTTTATCTATATATATATTGGAGCATCAATTCTATATAAAGTATAGGCAGGTAACAGACTACAGCACAGTACAGTAACAGTCTGGTTTAGTGCATGGATTCTGTACAATAGAGTCAAGTACCAGATCCCAATTCATCAACAGTAGAATTTAAACATAAAGAGCCAGACACAGATACAGACACAGGGGCAGGTTATTTGATGATTACTCAAGTACCAGCTTAGTTGTCACTAGCAACAAGAGCTAATTATCACTCTTCCAATTCATCTTGGATTGGAAGATACTATAAAAGCATAGTACTTGCACTACTGGGTTCAAGAGAGCTATTTTTAAGTAACACAGCCTGAGGGGCACCTTCCATTAACATCACATGCACAGCATTTCTTGATATTACCGTATTACCCCTGGGCAAGCGCCCACCCCCTGTTTTCACAAAAGTTACATGTTGGGGACATCCTCGATTAAACGCCCAGGGTGATTTTTTAGCCAAGAACGGGGTCAACAATAAAGTTTTATTTGTCAAAAACGAACGCGTTCGATTTATTTAAATAGTGTGTTTGTTACGGTAGTTCTCTTTTTGGAGTGTGTGGTGGCCCTGAAAAGGGACACTTTGTTTGTGTTTTTACGTAAAAACTCATTGGAACTTAACGACGTAAGATGAACCACGCAGCATGTGGCGCACACGTTCTGCTTTCTCTTCATTCACGATGAATCCAATATTGCAACGATCCATACCTTGGTGAGTGGTTTGAAGCACTTAGCCTTGGTTTCAAAACGTAGTATTTCGCTGACTGTGAATCCATAACGGGAGCTAGCACTTTTGAGACATCACGTCGTAAACTTGCTACTTTCTTTCCATCCTTCATCACAGCTATGGCATTACAGTCATGTGGATTATTTTTCTGTCGTTGAAGAAAAAACATTTTGCGATAACCATAATGAGGCATGCCGACGATGGGAACTTGTTGCATCATCGTTATTTTTGTAATTTTGTCACGTGTGTGGGTGCGTGAATAAATCATGTTAATGAGGTCGACCAGAGTTTATTTTCAGTCTGTTTTTT